CAGATCAGTTGGAAAAAGTTGTGATGGGCTACTTTCTGCACATGCCACAGTCAGTGTGACCCATAGTGACTTGACACAATGCTTGCCAAACAAGATGTGTCTACAAACAAAACTGAGTTAAATGGTTCCATTCTGCCGTGAATCATTCATCCATGTTTACGGGCAAGAGTCTAGCTACATTGTCATATATTATACATTTCTAATTTTGTCAGAAATGATTGGCAATATTGAAAGGTTTAGTTATAAATGACCCATCAACTTCAATGAACAATGGAGATGAATTGGGTTTTCTGCCCAATATATCATTTAAGGTACTCCAAAGTATTTTCTATTGTGTTTTATGTCATTTATCATCTTGTTTTGGTAATATCATTTATTCTTCTTTTTGTTAAGTTTAGTCACAAAATGTCTCAATGTACAGTATGCCAACCAATCAGCTGAGCAGCCTGACTTGTTTGCCTCCTATTTTGCATCATTTCTTTGAACCATACAATTTTTCAATTCATCATCAATCCATGGAGCTCTTACAGTTCTCAGTTCATTTCTTAACAGGTGCATGCTTGTCAACATCAGACCAACATACATGTTTTACATCTTCAACAAAAGAGTCCTGAGAAAACATTTTTGTATGATCTCTTCAGTGGTGGACCAGCTGGCTGGTGTGTTTACGGACATATTCAATCTCTCCTTTTCCCAGTCTGCTGTTCCCACATGCATCAATATGGCCACCATTGTTCCTGTACCCAAGAAAGCAAAGGTAACTGAACTAAATGACTATCGCCCCATAGCACTCACCTCGTGATCATGAAGAGCTTTGAGAGACTAGTCAAGTATCATATCACCTCTACCTTACCTGTCACCCTAGACCCACTTCAATTTGCTTACTGTCCAAATAGAGCCACAGACGATACAATTGCCATCACACTGCACACTGCCATATCCCATCTGGACAAGAGGAATACCTATGTAAGAATGCTGTTAATTGACTATAGCTCAGAATTCAATACCATAGTACCCTCCAAGCTCATCATTAAGCTCGAGACCCTGGGTCTGAACCCCGTCCTGTGCAATTGGGTCCTGGACTTCCTGACGGGCCGCCCCCAGGTGGTGAAGGTAGGACACAATATCTCCACTTCGCTGATCCGCAATACTGGGACCCCACAAGGGTGCGTGCTCAGCCCCCTCCTGTACTCCCTGTTCACCCATGACTGCGTGGCCTGGCACGCCTCCAACTCAATCATCAAGTTTGCAGACGACACAACAGTAGTAGGCTTGATTACCAACAATGACGAGACCACATACAGGGAGGAGGTGAGGGCTCTGGGAGTGTGGTGCCAGGAAAATAACCTCTCACTCAACGTCAACAAAACAAAGGAGATGATCGTGGACTTCAGGAAACAGCAGAGGGTGCAACCCCCGATCCACATCGACGGGACCGCAGTGAAGAAGGTGGAAAGCTTCAAGTTCCTTGGCGTACACATCACTGACAAACTGAAATAATCCACCCACGCAGACAGTGTGGTGAAGAAGGCGCAACAGAGCCTCTTCAATCTCAGGAGTCTGAAGAAATTTGGCTTGGCACCTAAACCCTCAAACTTTTACAGATGCACAATTGAGAGCATCCTGTCAGGCTGTATCACCGCCTGATACGGCAACTGCTCTGCCCGCAACCGCAAGGCTCTCCAGAGGGTGGTGTGGTCTGCCGAACGCATTACCGGGGGCAAACTACCGCCCTCCAAGACACATACAGCACCCGATGTCACAGGAAGGCCAAAAAGATCATCAAGGACATCAACCACCCGAGCCACTGCCTGTTCACCCCGCTATCATCCAGAATGTGAGGTAGTCCAGGTGCATCAAAGATGGGACCGAGAGAATGAAAAACAGCTTCTATCTCAAGGCCATCAGACTGTTAAATAGCCACACTAGCACATTAGAGGCTGCTGCTGCCTATTGAAATCACTGGCCACTGTAAGAAATGGAACACTAGTCACTTTAATAGTGTTTACATATCTTGCACTAAATAAAAACATAAATAAAAATGCCATTTAACAGACGCTTTTATCCAAAGGAACTTACAGTCATGCGTGCATCCATTTTTGTGTGTGGGTGGTCCCGGGGCGTTACCCTGGCGTTACAAGCACCGTGCTCTACCAGCTGAGCTACAGAGGACCACTACTCATCTCATATGTATATACTGTGTTATATTCTATAACATTCTACTGTATCTTAATCCATACCGCTCTGTCATTGCTTGTCCATATACAGTGGGGAGAACAAGTATTTGATACACTGCCAATTTTGCAGGTTTTCCTACTTACAAAGCATGTAGGGGTCTGTAATTTTTATCATAGTTAAACTTCAACTGTGAGAGAACTCGTTACCTGTATAAAATACACCTGTCCACACACTCAAACAGACTCCAACCTCTACACAATGGCCAAGACCAGAGAGCTGTGTAAGGACATCAGGGATAAAATTGTAGACCTGCACAAGGCTAGGATGGGCTACAGGACAATAGGCAAGCAGCTTGGTGAGAAGGCAACAACTGTTGGTGCAATTATTAGAAAATGGAAGAAGTTCAAGATGACGGTCAATCACCCTCGGTCTGGGGCTCCATGCAATATATCACCTCGTGGGGCATCAATGATCATGAGGAAGGTGAGGGATCAGCCCAGAACTACACGGCAGGACCTGGTCAATGACCTGAAGAGAGCTGGGACCACAGTCTCAAAGAAAACCATTAGTAACACACTACGCCGTCATGGATTAAAATCCTGCAGCGCACGCAAGGTCCCCCTGCTCAAGCCAGCGCATGTCCAGGCCCGTCTGAAGTTTGCCAATGACCATCTGGATGATCCAGAGGAGGAATGGGAGAAGGTCATGTGGTCTGATGAGACAAAAATAGAGCTTTTTGGTCTAAACTCCACTCGCCGTGTTTGGAGGAAGAAGAAGGATGTGTACAACCCCAAGAACACCATCCCAACCGTGAAGCATGGAGGTGGAAACATCATTCTTTGGGGATGTTTTTCTGCAAAGGGGACAGGACGACTGCACCGTATTGAGGGGAGGATGGATGGGGCCATGTATCGCAAGATCTTGGCCAACAACCTCCTTCCCTCAGTAAGAGAATTGAAGATGGGTCGTGGCTGGGTCTTCCAGCATGACAACGACCCAAAACACACAGCCAGGGCAACTAAGGAGTGGCTCCGTAAGAAGCATCTCAAGGTCCTGGAGTGGCCTAGCCAGTCTCCAGACTTGAACCCAATAGAAAATCTTTGGAGGGAGCTGAAAGTCCGTATTGCCCAGCGACAGCCCCGAAACCTGAAGGATCTGGATGGAGGAGTGGGCCAAAATCCCTGCTGCAGTGTGTGCAAACCTGGTCAAGAGCTACAGGAAACTTATGATCTCTGTAATTGCAAACAAAGGTTTCTGTACCAAATATTATGTTCTGCTTTTCTGATGTATCAAATACTTATGTCATGCAATAAAATGCAAATGTATTACTTAAAAATCATACAATGTAATTTTCTGGATTTTTGTTTTAGATTCTGTCTCTCACAGTTGAAGTGTACCTATGATAATAAATGACAGACCTCTACATGCTTTGTAAGTAGGAAAACCTGCAAAATCGGCAGTGTATCAAAAACTTGTTCTCCCCACTGTATGTATATATTCTTAAATTCCATTCCTTACTAGATTTGTGTGTATTGGGTACATGTTGTGAAATTTTTTTATATTACTTGTTAGATATTACTGCACTGTCGGAGCTAGAAGCACAAGCATTTCGCTACACCCGCAATAACATGTGCTAAGCCTGTGTATGTGACAAATAAAATTTTATTTGATTTGATTGTCATACTTGAGTAAAAGTAAAGATATGGTCATAGAAAATGACTCAAGTAAAAGTGAAAGTAACCCAGTAAAATACTACTTGAGTAAAAGTCTAAAAGTATTTGGTTTTAAATATACTTAAGTATCAAAAGTAAATGTAATTGCTAAAATATATTAAGCAAACCAGGCGGTACAATTTTCTTGTTCTTTTAATTTAGGGATAACCAGGGCACACTCAAACACCCATCATTACAAACAAATAATTTGTGTTTAGTCAGTCCGCCAGATCAGAGGCAGTAGGGATGACCAGGGATGTGAATTTGACCATGATCCTGTTCTGCTAAGCATTCAAAGTGTAATGAGTACTTTTGCGTGTCAGGGAAAATATATGGAGTAGAAAGTATATTATTTTCTTTAGGAATGCAGTGAAATAAAAGTAGTCAAAAATATAATTGGTAAAGTAAACCACAGATACCCCAAAAAACTACTTAAGTAGTACTTTAAAGTATTTTTACTTAAGTACTTTACACAACTGGATCTCTTATAATTTACTATAGGCCCAACCTTTTGCACTTTGGCTTTCCTTGTTATTGCCAAAATGTTATGTCACTACAGCTAATGAGAACTGGTATTTATTTGGAGCGAAGCTCTGCAGCATTAATGAAGATATGATCAATACAAGTGGATGTCACAGATTCAACACTATTGGTAGACACTAGTTGGTTAAGTGATAGCCTGGGTCATCTTACAGGCATTTTTCACAGTTAGAAGCTTCCTCTTGAGAGGACAGCAAGTTGCTAACCAGTCAATGTTCAGGTCACTCAGAAAATAAACCTGTATTTTAACATCACATACACTATCAAACATGCACACACATTATCCAAATACTGACTGTTAGCACTTGATGGCCTATAGCAGTACCCCAAAAGAAGAGGCTTTAGAGTAGACAGGTGAACTTGCAACCACAACACTTCAACATTTGACATGAGATCCTCTCTAAGCTTTAAAGGTCTATGGCTCTGAACAGATTAACTCCATACTCATCACTTCTACTCAACCTCTTTCAAGTACAGAGTAGAATACAACAGACTGGACTAGAATATAATGATGTAAGAGGGTATTAAAAATAGAGTGTCTGCGACTGAAGACCACGTTAACCCACTGAGCTAAGCCTTACCTATCTGCATGACCCGTCCGAACACGGAGGAGTTGTCCACGGTGCTGCAGTTCCAACGCCGTTGTCTGAACTGATACTGGCACTCCCTGATGCCAGTCTTGGCGCCCTCGCCGATGTACTGCATGTGGTCCTGGTAGAGCTGGCACAGCTTCTTCTGGCCCTGAGACAGACTTACCAGCTGGCTGCACAGAGGCTGGGCACCGATGATGTATGCCTCGGGGATCAGCAGAGGGTTCATGGCTAAAGACCTGGAAAGAGGGAGAGGAAGAGAGAGAGAATAACCTGTTAGAGAATAACTGCACGCAAGCTCGCGTGCCCACACACAGCAATCCATTCTAAACCCCCCCAGAGCAGCACAATTAGCCCCCACTGTAACCTGATCTGTTGGGGAGAGCAGCCAGGGAGGGAGGGAGAGAAAACACACTGACACACACCCCCCTAACAGGCCTCACTCGCTCGGACACAGTAAATCGTTTGCACCTGTGTGTCTTTTACTGGAGGGAACTGAAAGGCACACAAATCACAAACACACACACAAACCACAACACACACACACACACGTCAGCAGTAGGTATTTTGTGTGATAATGTTTGTGTCCATACTAAATCACATAATCCATGGAATATCACAATGGAATTTCTCTTCTGCCATTGCTTTAGTCAACTACAGTATGTAGAGTCTCAATACATCAACAAATACAACTTCATGGATTTGTTGAAAAGGCTACAGATGATTGTATTCCTCTGCCTAATGACCTCAGTATAGCTCATTGCTTCAGTATTCTCACTAAAGAGTTGTGTACTGTTTGTTCTAGTTTCCTATAAACAAGTAGAAAACATGTCTGTAAAAGTTCTACTTTCCATTTGGCACAAATTCTTTAGCGTTTTGCTGTTACAAAATCACCACAAACACCACACACACACTTGCAGGCAAACACACACACACACACACACGCTCACACGCAGAGACACAAACAGAATTCAAATTAGATCTGATTTGAGCAATGCTCCTATGGTGATGTCTAAACACTGTTTACCTCTGTGTAGCAAATCTATTCAGTTTGTCTCTCAACTGCATGTTCACATTTAGACTTCTCTCCTAATGGCACACACAAACACCCGTTTAGATTAGTGGACACCCCTTTAAATTAGAGGATTCGGCTATTTCAGCCACACCCGCTTAAATTCAACAAAAGATTACACACACTTTATTTACTTAGTTTTGTTTTTGTTTCTTACACACACACACACACACACACACACACACACACACACACACACACACACGTTTGGATTTTCCTGTTCTATATTTTCCAAATGATAAATAGATATACTGTATAGATACACTATATTTACAAAAGTATATGGACACTCCTTCAAATTAGTAGATTTGGCTATTTCAGCCACACCCGTTTCTGACAGGTACAGTATATAAAATCGAGCACACAGCCATGCAATCTCCATAGACAAACATTACCAGTAAATTAGGCTTACTGGAGAGCTCAGTGACTTTCAATGTCGATACCACCTTTACAAAAAGTCAGTTCGTCAAATTTCTGCCCTGTTAGAGCTGCCCCGGTCATCTGTAAGTACTGTTATTGTGAAGTGGAAACGTCAAGCAGCAACAACGTCTCAGCCACAAAGTGGTAGGCCACACAAGCTCACAGAACGGGACCGCCGAGTGCTGAAGTGCGTAAAAATCGTCTGTCCTCCGTAACAACACTCACTACTGAATTCCAAACTGCCTCTGGAAGCAACGTCAGTTTGTCGGGAGCTTCATGAAATGGGTATCCATGTCCGAGCATCCGCACACAAGCCTAAGATCACCATGCACAATGCCAAGCGTCGGCTGGAGTGGTGTAAAGCTCGCCGCAATTGGACTCTGGAACAGTCGAAACGTGTTCTCTGGAGTGATGAATCAAGCTTCACCATCTGGCAGTCCGACGGACAAATCTGGGTTTGGCGGATGCCAGGAGAACGCTACCTGCCTGAATGCATAGTGCCAACTGTAAAGTTTGGTGGAGGAGGAATAATGGTCTGGGGCTGTATTTCATGGTTCGGGCTAGGCCCTTAGTTCCAGTGAAGGGAAATCTTAACGCTACAGCATACAATGACATTCTAGACATATCTGTGCTTCCAATTTTGTGGCAACAGTTTGGGGAAGGCCCTTTCCTGTTTTAGCATGACAATAGCGCCGTCCACAAAGTGAGAGCCATACAGAAATGGTTTGTCGTGATTGGTGTGCAAGAACTTGACTGTCTTGCATAGAGACCTGACCTCAACCCCATCAAACACCTTTGGGATGAATTGGAACACTGACTGTGAGCCAGGCCTTATCGCCCAACATCAGTGCCCCGACCTCACTAATGCTCGTGGCTGAATGGATGCAAGTCCCCGCAGCAATGTTCCAACATCTAGTGTAAAGCCTTCCCATATTAATGCCCATGACTTTGGAATGAGATGTTCGACGAGCAATGTTGTGTACATGACGCTTATATGAATTCATTAGATTCAATGAGGGAAGATTAGTGTAACTATATTGATGCCTAGAGATAAGCCAGAGACATGACGCCTAAGTGAATACATTGCATTCAATTGGGAGAAGATTAGTGTCACAATATTACTGCCTACAAATATGCTTCACAGACATGATTCCTAAGTTAATACATTGCATTCAATGAGATTTATGTATAGATATGCATCAAGTAGTTGACAAGTCAATTGCATTCATTTCTGTTGGTTCTCTCTCTCACACACACACACTCTTCTATAATCCCCCTCTTTCCTTATTTCTCCCTCTCTTTGCCTCCCTCTGTCTCTCTCTCGACTTCCTTTTTATCTCCCCTCCTTCTCGTCTCTCTCCCTCCCCCATCTTTCACCCCCTCCACCCTCCTTCTGTCTATCTCTCTCTATTCTCTAACACGCCTCTCCATCTCTTTGCCTCCCTCTGTCTCTCTCTCTACCTCCTCTTTATCCACACACAGAGAGCAGAGCAGTATCATGTAAAGTGTATTGTGTAAAATGAAGTGTACATACCACCATGAGCTGGCCTCCACCACCACCTGCATGAGTAGTGTGAGGAGAGTGAGGGCGAACGTACAGTGTCTGGAGTCCAACACACCCCTCACCAGTGCTGAAGGACAACACACACACACCAGCCTCCTCAGGAACAACATAGTGGATCAGCTCTACAGGAACAGCTCTGAGGAGAGAAGGCAGGACACAGGGTCAGAGAGGCACGCATGCACACACACACACAAACTGAAACAGGCGAAGACTATATACATATCCTGTCTGTCTGTCTACATCATAGAATGAATAGAAAGGGTGTCTCTATTCAAATTAATGATGGCATAATGGTTGGACAGGCAGCCATTTTCAGTGTACCCATGCCTGGAAGTGTGCCCTTCAATCTGTGCTGTGATTTGTTTTTTGTTTCGTTTTTTTATTGAAATTCCATCAATTTTAACACAAACCATCATTACTGCAGCGCTCTGTCCCACTTGACAATTGTTTCTGGCGTTATCCCTAAGATCTGGAAAGCGGCACATGTCCTCCCCCTACATAAAAGAGCAAATCCTTCTGACTTAGATAACTGCCGTCCAATTTCCAAATGATCTTGCCTTTCCAAAGTTTTAGAATCCTCTCTGCTAAGAACTTTAACTTCTACCTCTATTCTTATATGTGCACCAATCCAGTTTTCAACCTGGACATAGCACAGATTATGCTGCTACGCTTGTTTTAGATGTGTTAAATTGCTTAGATCCTAAACATCATTGTGCTGTCTTATTTATAGACATTTCCAAGGGCTTTGATACCGTTGACCTTCACATGCTCATTCAAAGATTGACTGAAGTAGTCCTGGATCAGGCTTCTTGCAAGTGGTTTGATAATTATCTGTCAGACAGGTGTGGTAAACCATGGGGTGTTGGGTTCAGCGCACAGAGATGGACACAGAGACAGGGAGGTTCTAGTCAGAAAACACGACTTTACTAGGCAACAAAAATAAATGTAACAACAAATTTACTTAGGATTGGCTCGGTCCTTCTCATATTCGTCTCCATGCCTCCGGGAGCTTCGTTCCCCTCTGTCGGCTCACTCCTTGCCTCTCTCTTTTTCTCTCTCAGGTTGTGCCATGGTGCTCCATTTATGTGGCCTGCATGGCTGGTTGGCACCCTCCCCTAATTACCCCTAATGGATGCTATCAGCGTCGGGGTGCCCATCCCGGGTAGTCCCAGCAGAGGGAGCCAACGACGTCGTGGCACGTACCTCCCCTCTATCACCAACCCTCGGGGTAGACCTCCCGGGACATCATGTGTGATTTCTGATGGTGGTACAGTGGCTTGCGAAAGTATTCACCCCCCTTGGCATTTTTCCTATTTTGTTTTGCAACGTGGAAATAAAATGGATTTTTGGGGGGGTTTGTATCATTTGATTTACACAACATGCCTACTACTTTGAAGATGCAAAATATTTTTTCTTGTGAAACAAACAAGAAATAAGACAAAAAAACAGAAAACTTGAGCGTGCATAACTATTCACTCCCCCAAAGTCAATACTTTGTAGAGCAACCTTTTGCAGCAATTACAGCTGCAATTCTCTTGGGGTATGTCTCTATAAGCTTGGCACATCTAGCCACTGGGAGTATTGCCCATTCTTCAAGGCAAAACTGCTCCAGCTCCTTCAAGTTGGATAGGTTCCGCTGGTGTACAGCAGTCTTTAAGTCATACCACAGATTCTCAATTTTGATTGAGGTCTGGGCTTTGTCTAGGCCATTCCAAGACATTTAAATGTTTCCCCTTAAACCACTCGAGTGTTGCTTTAGCAGTATGCTTAGGGTCATTGTCCTGCTGGAAGGTGAAACTCCATCCCAGTCTCAAATCTCTGGAATACTGAAAAAGGTTTATTCAAGAATTTCCCTGTATTTAGCGCCATCCATCATTCCTTAAATTCTGACCAGTTTCCCAGTCCCTGCCGATGAAAAACATCCCACAGCATGATGCTGCCACCACCATGCTTCACTGTGGGGTTGGTGTTCTCAGGGTGATGAGAGGTGTTGGGTTTGCGCCAGACATAGCGTTTTCCTTGATGGCCAAAAAGCAACATTTTATTCTCATCTGACCAGAGTCCCTTTTCCATTTGTTTGGAGAGTCTCCCACATGCCTTTTGGTGAACACCAAACATGTTTGCTTATTTTTTTCTTTAAGCAATGGCTTTTTCTGGCCACTCTTCCATAAAGCCCAGCTCTGTGGAGTGTAAGGCTTTAAGTGGTCCTATGGACAGATACTCCAAATCACCGCTGTGGAGCTTTACAGCTCCTTCAGGGTTATCTTTGGTCTCTTTGTTGCCTCTCTGATTAATGCCCTCCTTGCCTGGTCTGTGAGTTTTGGTGGGCGGCCCTTTCTTGGCGGGTTTGTTGTGGTGCCATATTCTTTCAATTTTTTTATTATGGATTTAATGGTGCTCCGTGAGATGTTCAAAGTTTCGAATATTGTTTTATAACCCAACCGTGATCTGTACTTCTCCACAACTTTGTCCCTGAACTGTTTGGAGAGCTCCTTGGTCTTCATGGTGCCACTTGCTTGATGGTGCCCCTTGCTTAGTGGTGTTGCAGACTCTGGGGCCTTTCAGAACAGGTGTATATATACACTGAGATGATGTGACACTTAGATTGCACACAGGTGGACTTTATTTGACTAATTATGTGACTTCTGAAGGTAATTGGTTGCACCAGATCTTATTTAGGGGCTTCATAGCAAAGTGCGTGAATACATTTGCACACACCACTTTTCTGTTTTTAATTTTTTAGAATTTTTTGAAACGATTCTGCAGGTTTTCCTACTTACAAAGCATGTAGAGGTCTGCAATTTTGTATCTTAGGTACACTTCAACTGTGAGAGACAGAATCTAAAGCAAAAATCCAGAAAATCACATTGTATGATTTTTAAGTAATTAATTTGCATTTTAGATAACCGGTTGTTTGTTCCTGACGCTGTCCGCCCATCGGTCCTGGTGTGGGCCCACTCCTCCAGGCTTGCCTGCCATCCGGGCTACCATCGGACCCTGGCCTTTGCACAAGAGTGCTTTTGGTGGCCTACCATGGTCCCTGACATCTCCGCATCCGTTGCTGCCTGCACGATCTGTGCGCAGAACAAGAATCCTCGGCAAGCTCTGGCTGGTCTCCTTCAACCGCTGCCTTTCCCTAATTGTCCCTGGTCTCACATATCACGGGGCTCACCCCTTCTGATGGCAACACAGTCATCCTGACAGTAGTGGACCGGTTTTCCAAAGCAACCCATTTCATTTAATTCCTCTCCCCAAGCTACCCTCTGCCAAAGAGACGGCCCAGCTCATCACACAGCACGTCTTCCAGATCCATGGACTCCCGGTGGACATGGTCTCCGACCGGGGTCCTCAGTTCTCGTCCCGGTTCTGGAAGACGTTCTGCACACTCATTGGGTCGTCGGCCAGCATGTCCTCCGGTTTCCACCCTCAGTCCAACGGTATGGCTGTCTACTTGGGATCTTCCCCATTTTATCAGACCTTTCCCCATCTCCAAGATTATTAGCCCTTCTGTTGTTCGTCTTCTGTTGCCATGATCCCTCCGTATACATCCCACTTTTCATGTCTCAGAGCCCTTTGGCTCCTGTTTCCAGGCCTACCCCTCTCCCCCGTCTCATCGACGGCCAACCAGCATACACAGGCGCCTCCTGAAGGTTCGACTGCGGTGCAGTGGATTCCAGTACCTGGTTTACGGGAGGGTTATGGCCCAGAGGAGAGGTGCTGGGTCCACGCTAGGGACATCCTGGACCCAGGCCTCATCGCTGAGTTCCAACGCTGGTACCCTGGTCAATCAGGTATGCGCCCATGTAGGACGCCAGGTGACGTCCCTAGAGGGGTGTGTACTGATACACCCTGATCTGTTTCACCTGTCTTTGTGCTTGTCTTGTTTAAATGAATTCCTCATTTAAAGTTACTGGATTAATAATTAAAACATTGAATTTCTCAAGCTGAAGAAATAATTGCAATTATTCTCGTCTTCCACCATCCATTGTCTTTTTGATCTAACAAAAGCCCCTCTAGCCTTTTCGTTGTACTTTTAATTAATTTAGCAGTTTATGTAACTGAATATCATACAACTCTGTACTTTATTTTTGACATTCAGCTAGGGAAGCAATTTCACTGACAATGCATTCTATCTTCAACCTCTTTTTTTATGCATGTTCCTTGCAATGCCTCATGGCCAATCTTCTAATCTTAAACTGTAATACTTCATAGTATTTCCCATGTTCACCATTTACTAATGGCTAATGTCCAGTGTTCTTCAATAAGATAATTGACAATTTGTGTGAAATCTTCAATTTGCAATAGAGTTATATGTTTTCCAATAACCCACATTTGAACATATTTGTGAGTCATCACAAATATTCAGTTTTAGTTTGACTTTATGATCTGTTAAAATATCAGGTGAGTCTCAATTTGATCAACTTTAGGTTCTAATTAATTGGATATCAGCCATAAGTCTATTCTGGACTGTAGAGTTCCAATATAAGTATTTTACCACAGGTTTTCTATACCTCCATATATCAGTAACATTTATATTAGAGAATACAGATTACATATTACCTGAATCATGTGCTCTAGGAGGATTTCTGTCTCTCACCCAAATATCAGCTTTGCATTCTCTTTTATATCTTCCAATAGTTTTTCATTTCTTGAGTTATAACAATAAACATTAAAGTAAGAACTGTTCTCCAGCAGTTTCAATTACTAAATAGACCCAGTATCTCTTGTATGAGTCTTAGTTAATACATCCTCTTTAAACATGTCTTTGAGAATAGCGAATCCTGCAGAGTGATTTGTACCATGTGATAACCATAAACCATTGCCCCACATGTTCTTCCAAAATTGCACATCCTCTGAGCATAAATGGCATTCTTGTAAGAAAGTAAAATCTGCCGTTGTCTCTTTACAAAATAGAAAAAAGCTTTTCTTTTTACAATTTCACGTAAACCCCTTGTGTTAACGGCTATAAGAAGTAACTCCCTAACAATAAAAGTAGTTAACCAACTACTTAACTGAATTGAAAATGTTACTCCCACTCGCTTATAAGTGGAATGGAACATATTACATGTCATATTTAATCTTAATTTAATATTAACCTGTATTGGAACATTATAAATGAAAAAATGAAAAAAATAACAAGAACCAATTACCTGTCAAATGTCATAATCAATGGATGACGATCAAAATGTCAGTGTCAATATAGTATATGATTCAATGTCAACAACCTATGATAGAAAACATAAAGAAGGATAGGTAGAGATGTCTCTTCATTTGCGTCGTATTTCCTTCCCATCGATGTATGCTCTAGGACCAACTAAATAAGCACTCTTTCCCTTCTTGAGGGCACTCTCCAGAAGAGGCCAAAGAGCGGCACTGGCCTCCTTGTCCATTATGGTTAGGTCCTCGCCAAAGCGGAGTTTGGAGTCTATGAGGAAGCTGCTGTCCTTACCTTTCTTCCAGATGAGGTCCCTCGTTGGTCGGAATACCAAAATAAAATCATCAGGGTTCTGTTCTCTATGTTCAATCCACTGATCTCATCTTGGACTGAGCACAGTGACTCCTTTAGGCCTGCAATGGATTTAGAGTTGTCTCTAATCATACATTCAAGGTTGTCTGCCCTCGAATTCATTTTCACTGGTCGAGCCCCGATTCTTTTTTGTTGTAGTTCAAGTAAAGATGGTTCTGTGTTTGCTCTCATGTGCAGGGCTGAATGGTGGTGATGGTGAATCAGAAAAAAGCTCTCCATCCATTGTCATTTCGTGATCAGAAGCATCACTCACCATGGTGTCAATGCATTGAGCAGAGTGACATTCTAACACAGGGGGGATTTTCTGCCAGTCCTGCTTATCCTTTTTCAGTTTGTCTTGTTTGGCACTCTTTCACCTAAGGTTAGCCTACTAAGTAGCTGGCAACCGGTCTAGAATATTCATGTAAACTTTGTAATACGAAAAACTAAATATCTTCCTGACACACAAAAGTCACTTAACTATTCTGTCACAAATCGTACAATTTATGAGAAGGATTCAAAATCGATGTAGGAGAGCTCTCATATCACATCTGGCCAAGTTGCCATAAACATAGTCCCAGCCATAGCCGTGAGAAGTAGGGGTGCTGAGGGTGCTGCAGCACCCCCCTGAAAAATCATAATTAAAAAATATATTAATACGAAAGTACAAATGTCTAAAGATTACTTTCCAACATAGTCTGTTCCTGTGCGTCCTAACTACTTAGAAAAATTGGTAACACTTTACTTGACACCCAGTGTCATTCGGTCATAATCATGTCATAATATGGTCATAACACTGTCATGACCCATATATTTACATCTGTTGTGACATATATTGTGTTATTACATGCCTGGTTATGACACCTACATAAGAGCGCAAAACCCACATTTATTCAAATTATTTTTTTCCCTGTCAAGAAGTTTCCTTTCATTTGAATGTTTGTTTCTTAAATCCTTTGTTGTTTTTGTGATTAATTCTTTACAGTCATGTTTTTTTCATCATATTTTAAATAGCTGTAAAGAAAATACACTTTAAGACACTGTCAAGAAGCATTATGACCATCATAATCATATAAGCCAGATAGAAGGGCATGTACATGATAGGCCTATCAGTCATCAGTCAAAAAGAGAGTGTCTTGTCCTGCTCCTGAAATCTGAAAAATCTGAAAAACCCTTGAATGGGTAGGTGTGTTCAAACTTTTGACTGGTAATGTACTAACCCAGGGAAAATATGACGGCAAAAAAAAAAAATCTGAGAAGCGAGCACTTAGATATAGAACGGTGCGCCAGAGCCAATCAGAGTGACAGTGGGCCTATATGCAAATAAGTTCACTTTGAACTGGTCTGTGTAGCAACAGTGCGACTTTAGATCATTAGGAAGCATTCGCCAAAAGCCACAAAATACACCCGAATGGATTTCTGCAAAATGTAAATACCACGGAAGTCCTCTTACATGTGGAAACTTTTGTCCTTTTGATCAAACAACCATGAAAAGGTTGCTCTCTCCCTCAGTTGCTTTTAGTTCAATTGTGAATTCCATAAAATTGAATACCCCCTCGGTTGTCAAATAATGGCACCGGAGGGGATGTCTGCCGTTTTACGGGCTCCTAACCAACTGTGCTATTTTGCTTGTTTTTTCGCATTGTTTGTAACTTGTTTTGTACATAATTATGCTGCCACCGTCTCTTATGACCGAAAAGAGCTTCTGGACATCAAAACAGCGATTACTCACCTCGAACGGGACAAAGATTTTTTCTTTAATGAGTCCGACGTGAAGGATATACTGCTTTGTGAAGACAAGGCACAAATCCATGTCATCAGCGTGAAGAAAAGACGGAGGAAAAGGGGGAGGAGGGCGGGGTACTTGTAAGAATTAGCCGACGACTAGGTAAACCACGACTTCCCTCCTTATTATTGACCAACATGCAATCATTGGAAAACAAACTGGACGATGTACGATTAAGACTATCCTACCAACGGGACATTAAAAACTGTAATATCTTATGTTTCACCGAGGCATGGCTGAACAACGACACAGATAATATAGAGCTGGCTGGCTTCTCTGTGCATCGGCAGGACAAAGCAGCTACATCTGGTAAGACTTGGGCCGGGGGTGTGTGTCTATTTGTCAATAGCTGCTGGGGAGCGATGTCTAATATTAAAGAAGTCTCAAGGTATTGCTCGCCTGAGGTAGAATACCTCATGATAAGCTGTAAATCACACTATCTACCAAGAGTCTACATTATTCGTAGCAGTCTATTTACCACCGCAAACCGATGCTGGCACTAAGACTACACTCAACAAGCTGTATAAGGCCATAATTAAATAAGAAAATGCTCACCCAGAAGCGGCGATCCTAGTTGCCGGGGACTGTAAGCAGGCAAACCTAAATCCGTTTTACCTCATTTCTACCAGCATGTCATGTGCAGCCAGAGGAAAAAAAAAACTCTAGACCACCTTTACTCCACACACAGAGACGCATACAAAGCTCTCCCTTGCCCTCAAATTGGCAAATCGGACCATAATTATATTCTCCTGATTCCTGCTTACAAGCAAAAACTAAAGCAGGAAGTACCAGTGACTCACTCAATACAGAAGTGGTCAGATGACGTGGATGCTCCGCTACAGGACTGTTTTGCTAGCACAGCCTGGAATATGTTCCGGGATTCATCCAATGGCATTGAGGAGTATACCACCTCAGTCACCGACTTCATCAATAAGTGCATCAACGACGTCGTCCCCACAGCGACCGTACGTACATTTCCCAACCAGTAGCCATGGATTAAAGGCAACATCCGCACAGAGCTAAAAGCTAGAGCTTCCGCTTTCAAGGAGTGGGACACTAATCCGGACGCTTATAAGAAATCCTGCTATGCCCTCAGATGAACCATCAAACAGCGTCAATAAAGGACTAAGTTTGAATCCTACTATACCGGCTCTGACACTCGTCAGATGTGGCAGGGCTTGAAAAATATGACTGACTACAAAGGGAAACCCAGCCATGAGTTGCCCAGTGACGCGAGCCTACCAGACGAGCTAAATGCCTTATGCTCGCTTCAAGGATAGGCAAGCAACACTGAAGCATGCATGAGAGCACCAGCTGTTCCGGACGACTGTGTGATCACGCTCTCCTTAGCCGATGTGAGCAAGACCTTTAAACAGGTCAACAGTCACAAAGCCGCGGGGCCAGACGGATTACCAGGATGTGTACTCAAAGCATGAGCTGACCAACGTGCAAGTGTCTTTACCAACATTTTCAACCCCTCCCTGACCGAGTCTATAATACCTACATGCTTCAAACAGACCACCATAGTCCCTGTGCCCAAGAAAGCAAAGGTAACCTGCCTAAATGATTACCATCCTGTAGCACTCACGTCTATAGCCATGAAGTGCTTTGAAAGGCTGGACATGGCTCACATCAACACCATCATGCCGGAAACCCTAGACCTACTTCAATTCGCATACCGCCCCAACAGATCCACAGATGACGCAATCTCAATCGCACTCCACACTGTCCTTTCCCACCTGGACAAAAAGAACACCTGTGTGAGAATGCTGTTCATTGACTACAGCTCAGCATTCAACACAAAGCTAAGGACCCTGGGACTAAACACCTCCCTCTGCAACTGGATCCTGGACTTCCTGATGGGCAGCCCCCAGGTGGTAAGGGTAGGCAACAACACATCTGTCACACTGATCCTCAACACTGGGCCCCTCAGGGGTGTGTGCTTAGCCCCCTCCTGTACTCTCTGTTCACCCACGACTGCGTGGCCAAGCACGACTCCAACACCATCATTAAGTTTGCTGACGACACAACAGTGGTAGGCCAGATCACCGACTATGATGAGACAGCCAATAGGGAGGAGGTCAGAGACATTTAAAAATGTTTTACATTTTTGTCATTTAGCAGACGCTCTTATCCAGAGCGACTTACAGTTAGTGAATACATCAGTATTTATTTTTATTTTTATACTGGCCCCCCGTGGGAGTTTCCCCACTGTACTTCCTAAGATGGATTACATCAAGATCTGGGCTATGTAGACGAATCCGGACATTGACTGAAACTTGGATCTCTGGGGACATTCTGGACTATTATGATATTAATATTGAGGGTTATAATGTGTTCAGAGCTGACAGACAGGGTAGAGGTGAAGGAGTGGCCATTCTTATAAAAAATATTTGATCTTTACTGAAATCCATTTCCCTTGCCAAAAAAAGTTTAGCTACCATCTTTAAGCCTTTGTCTGGGCAACAATGTGTCCGTAACTGTTATAGGGACTACCGTCCTCCTTCGGCTAACCTTTGTGCACTCGGAGTTAGCTAGTTTGTTGTCTTCTTTTATTAAATCAGAAGTTATTATCCTGCGTGACCTAAATTATGATTGGGAAATGCAGGCTTCAGACAATTCAAAATAAATGTGTAATGATCTAAACCTAACCCAGCTGGTGACTAAGCCTACACGGCCCAACCCTAAAGATCCTTCAAAGCACATAAACAGAATGGATCAGCACTGAATTCTGATGTGTATGTACAGTTGAAGTCGGAAGTTTACATACACTTAGGTTGGAGTCATTAAAACTAGTTTTTCAACCACTTCCATTTCTTGTTGACAAACTATAGTTTTGGCAAGTCGGTTAGGACATCTACTTTGTGCATGACACAAGTACATTTTTCCAACAATTCTTTACAGACCGATTATTTCACTGTATCACAATTCCAGTGGGTCATAAGTTTACATACACTAAGTTGACTGTGCCTTTAAACAGCTTGGAAAATTCCAGAAAATCATGTCATGGCTTTAGAAGCTTCTGATAGGCTAATTGACGTCATTTGAGTCAATTGGAGGTGTACATGTGGATGTATTTCAAGGCCTACCTTCAAACT